GGTTGGATGTGAGAATCGATTTCGAGGTATCGACTGTGTCCATGGCCCATATGGCGTTAGTTCGTCTACCGACTTCGTTCCTCTTTCAATTCTCGATTTTGAGTTACCGTTGTGTGATTGGTTCATTCCTTAAGTCTTACTTAAGCATAAGCAGAGATGCTTGGAGATTGCAAGCTTCTAAGTTACCGTGTTACGTGTTATGCTTATGCGAACGCATTGTGAATGGGTTCGTTTATGGACGTAGTGCTAACTTTTATGTTAACGCCATGCTTAATGTTTATGTTTGCATTGTGAATGGGTCTTTACTCTTAACTCACATACTTGCAAACACGCACCGAAAGATGATGTAGATTGACTGATTGGTTGTTTAATGATTCCGGGCACGTCAACTACCATGGTCATTAGTCCCGTAAGTGTAATGCATGTTTTTTGCTCGGGAGGTGGCGATGATCTTTCCCCCGCTGTATGACGAGATCGGGCGCCGACCTACCGTCGGCTAGCGGGGTTTTCCTCAACCAGATATCTCCCACCGGCTGGGCACCGCCCCAGCCGGGACAAGCTCTTAGCTCCTGACGGGTCTTCCGGCATGTGTGGTAGTGTAGTGCGTGTTATTGTAAGTGTGTGTGTAAGGGCGAAGATTGGACAAAGAAGAGGAAGGTAAGATCGCGCGCGATCCGTGGCCCGTTTGTTAAGGTACTGCCCTGGCATGCGCCTGGTGTTGATAGGAGAAACCACGGAAAAAACGATCAGAGCCGCTCGCCGCTAGAATTCTCCTCCAGACAGCGATTGAATTCGACGTAAAGATGATGTATATGTTTCATCTCTTTAAACACATTTGTGATAGGGGTAAAACTGTTTTCTAGTCAATAAACCTGTGCCGCGGATTGCACTTACTATCATTGCCAATATTATCATTATAAAAGTTTCGATACCGTTGCAGTTATTTCTAATAACTCTGAAATTAATACAATTTCTTTGAGATGTGCCAGAAGAATAAAAATTTTTATTGAAGTATATAAATTAAAAAAAAATAGTCCAACCTTGATGACCTTGGCGAGAAGAGCTAATAGAAACTCAGGCATTCGGTTCGAAGTGTTGAGAGTTCTAATAAGGTTCTGGCCATGATTGCTTGACCGTTACCACCAAAGACCATGCGCGCGTGTATATCGCAAAGAGGCTACCGTTGTGATGATCTCACAATCAAGAACACAACAAAGGTGTCTGGCGTAACGCTGTTTCTCAATAGAAAACATTAAATGGTATTGTTCTGCATTAAATATAAGACACACAATGGTATCAGAAAAAAAGAAAACGTCTACATACGAATAGAAATACAGGCATACGCAACTCGCCCTCACTCATTAATACAAGCTTGCCGCACTTGAGAGTCTTGGCACACAATCTACCAGTTCGTTTGGCCAATTAGTGTCCAACTAGTTCCATTTTCAACGACAATTTCCAGCAGATCTTGCAGGCGCCCATGTTAACGTCTTAATTATTTTTTCAATATATTTCCAACATGTTCCATCAGGTTTATTACGGGATAAAATGCAACCCAATATAAATGAAAAATGTTCTTTTCGCGCCGAGTATTGACGCAATAGTATAGACCATTCCTGTACTAAGGACGTTTTTGTTTCCATCAGAATGCAGGCCATAAAACTCGCAATCGGGAGCGAGACGTTGCTTCTGAATTGCTGCAATGATATTCTCAATCGCTAAAAGTGGTAAATACTTGCCATTTGAAAAGCCTTCTCACTAATGTCACTAAAATCACACACACACACACACACACACACACACACACACACACACACACACACTACACATGTGTGATGAGTGTAGCGAGCGTGTGTGATGAGTATGTCGAGCGTGTGTGATGAGTGTGGCGTGCGTGTGTGATGAGTGTGGCGTGCGTGTGTGATGAGTGTGGCGTGCGTGTGTGATGAGGGTGGTGTGCGTGTGTTAATAAAAGAAGTATGGAATAAATCATTCAAAAATTTGTGCGATAGTACAGTACCTACAAAAATATTCCGTTAGCCAGTACCTTGGGATCTCGTGCTCTCTCGTATTATTTAAAGTTAGATGTGGATTTTAACCTACAAGAAGAAAACGATTAAAACTTTGTACATAACTTTGTATGAATGCTCAATAAATGGTTTATGGTATACTTCTATTTTTGTTTTGGGCCTGTTACATGAATTTAACAATTTAGTAATAAACAATCTGAACATTTGTTTGAAATTACTAAATTTGTTCTGAACATTTTAATAACCAGGACATTTATTTATATTGAACATTATAATTTTTGACATGGATATTTTGCATTGTGCCTTCCTGACTGGGAACCAGTTCGTGTTCATGTTGCCTCCTGACAAATAATTTCAAACCGACTTTGATCTTAATCTGATTCGTCTCAAATATTTATGTTACGTTATGACGTCATAAGTTTACAAAATTAACCCCATAGACACCGCACCACTCGTTAACATGATCCACGTCCTTCCCCGTCCACTCCAGAGTGCGTGACCTTTACTTCTTCGCTCGAAGTCGCAGGAGACCTGCCAAGTTCCCGTGCGGC